GTGGCTTACATTTTTAAAGCACTCTCTTATCCTTGTTCTTGTTTGTTTGTTTTTAGAAATTGTGTTTAAAATACACTTAACATAAAACTTACCATTACACCCATCACCACTATCTAGTTCTAGAAATTTCTCACCATCCCCAAAGGAGAACCTGCTCCCACAACTTGTGCAGAAATTCAATGTTATGTCTGCACCCCATACACAGAGTGTACCCAAGCAGAGGGCATCTTCTCTCCCAATAAAAACAGCTCTTTAAAAATAAAACTAATTTGAATGGGCCAACTTTTTTGTGTGTGTACATGGAGACAACATAATGCCTTTATTTTTATGTGGTGCTGAGGATTGAACCCGGGTCCTGCCCATGCTATGGGAGCACTCTACCACTAAGCCACAATCCCAGCCCATGAATGGACCCACTTTAAAGGTAATACTTAACATGTTACCTTAGTGAGAAGTTTTAAACCACATAGGACATACAATAATATATAGACTTAAAATACTGCATTCCCCAACTCTCGCTGCCACGACAAGTCGAGCAGTTCACTGTTCTTGATGCTGCCTCCATCTCATTGTTGTGTTCTGCACACACCATCGTCCTCATGGCCTGAGAGTAGCTACTTCTTATGAATCCAGAAGGTGTGTATGTTTTAATGACAGCATTTTCAAGGTATACTTCACATAGCATAGAAGTCCCCCTTTAGAAATGTTCCCAGAATTGTGCATTCATCACCACTGTGTATTTCCAGAACTTTTTTGTAACCCAAAAGGAACCCCCTAGTGATGTTTAAGCAATCCCTTGCCACCCTCCCTCCCCAGATCCACTTCCTGGTTGTCCTTCTGTCTCTGTGGAGTTTCCTATCCTCATCCTACAAGGGCTTCTGTGACTGGCCTCTTGGGGTATGGGCTGTTTCCCAGCTTCCTCCGCTTGGTGGCCCCGTGTTAGCACCTCATTCCTTGTTGTGGCTGAATCACATTCCATCGCATCCATCCAATGGCTTTTTTCATCTCTTTATAAGCTGGTGGACGTTGGATCATTTCCACCTTTAGGCTACTGTGACTGGTACCTGTGTTCTTCTGATGACTAGCTTGTGCAATTATCCCCATTTTACAGATGAGATGCTGAAGCCAGAGTGATGGGAACGTTGGTGCCCCCTGGTAGGTCAGCCTTGTCTAGGGAGAGCAGCTGGCTGACCCTGGAAAGAGGGAGACGTGGATTCCTCAGTCAAGCTGGGGGTAGTCCAGGAGCCCGGTGCTCCTGGAAGGCCTTGCACCACTCTGTGGAGTGCTGAGGAGGCATGACTCAGGAGTCCTTCTCTGGCTTTGATCAGGTTCAGCAGAAGGAGCCTTGCAGAATCCAGTGGCCCCCTGCCATGCCAGCTTGGTGACATCCTGCCAGATTAGAGCACAGCAAGCTGTACCTGCCCTCTTTTGGATGTGCAGGGGAAGCCAGACCCTCCTCTGAGACCATGGGCCCCTCCCATTCTTCACTGCTACCCTGGATGAAGTTTGGCCTGTGGTCGCCCCTTCTGTTCCCAGCAGGTGAGTGGCTGCCTTATCTCTGGGACTTCACCGCTGTGTGCTCACGTGCCAGGTGGGTGGATATCCTGCAGGTGGGCTCATTGCAGTCCTCAAGGCTGCAAGGATGTTAGAGGTCATAGGCTGGTGCCTGGTTCCACAGGGAGAAGGTGGAGGGGCTGTCACAGTGCTGATATTAACAGCTGTGTCACCTTGAATGTCCCTAGCTTCAGTGTTGCTCATCTGCAAAACACAAATAGTGCTGCAGACCTCCAGAGCTATTGTGGGGACAGAAGGAAAGCCTGTGCCTAGCACCTGGGTCACAGCAGGCACCCAGGACACAAATGTGGTGGTTATTGTCCTTGCCGGGCTTTCTGTCCCAGCTGGAGCTACTGCGGTTCTGGGTTTGGAGCAGTAGCTGTCCACTCACTCAGTGGCAGAGCCTTGGTGTGCCAAAGCCATTGGCAGAGTACTGAAAATCCCCCGAGAGACCCATCAACAGTGGTTGGCCTAGTTGATGAGAGGCAGCAAGTGCCAGGGGTTTAGGAACAACTCAGGGAGTTGCCCTCAGTGGCGAGGGCTATGGCTGGCACTGCTGGTTCCTCTGACGACTGGGTGGGAACGAACGCTGCTCACCACCAGGCTTGCTGTCATGGGGCAAGTCCCCTTCCTGCAGCTTAACTGGGACCTGGGCTGGATCTCCCCACTCCCTGCCACAGCACTCTGACTTTGTTATCTAATATCACACAGGTACTGACGTCCAGTACTGACAACCAGCATGAGCGAGTGCACTGTGGCTACGGGGCTGTGCACAGCTCTGATGATCATTATCATAGTGAGTCCTCCACAGGGTTTGAAGTGGGATCTGGATTCACATCCCACTTGACAGATGAGCAAGCTGAAGCTCACACAGATGGCGGCCTCTGCTTTGATGGGAAGCTGGATGCCTGCTGCCTCCTTGGCTTCTGGAGACCCCTCCTCTTCTCTCCCATCCCACAGCATTGGCTCAGCCAGGCCCCCACACCCAGGCTGAGGACCGCCTCTTCAAATACCTCTTCAGGGGCTATAACTGCTGGGCACAGCTGGTGCCAAACACCTCAAATGTGGTGATTGTGGGCTTTGGACTGTCCATTGCCCAGCTCATTGATGTGGTGGGCCTGTCTCCCAATCCCGGGCCCCTCAGAATCAGCCTCCAGACCCCAGGCCCTTCCCCAGGGTCCCCCCTGCAGTCCCAGCCCCCCAGCCCATCTCCATTACAGCGGGGACCTCAGCCTGTTCCTCCTGGGCTGCCACAGCCCCTTCCCCTCTCTCGCCCAGATCCCATTCTAGGGCAGCAGGGGGCTTTCTTGTGTGACCCTGAAGAATCTGAGTCCAAGGGAGTGTTGGGAGGGATGCTGGGCTTGGGTGCCACACAGAGGCTCTTCCTGTGAGTGGGGATCCCGGCAGCCCCTCTCTCTCACCCTGTGCTCTGGATTCTGTTGCCCTCTCCCTCTTACCGGCCAGGAGAGAAGAACCAAATGATGACCACCAATGTCTGGCTGAGGCAGATGAGGATTCTCCCAGCAGGGAGGGGACAGTCATCGCGGGGCCCCGCCCCGCCCCTCCCTGTACCTTTCCCTGACAGGGGCAAGCTGCTGCATTCAAGGTTGGTGAACACCTGCTACTTGGGTTATCTGGTTGCAAGTGGCCTCTCCAGAGGACTTTGCTTGCATGGCCAGGCTCTGAGTCCACTCCCTGGACATGTCACCAGAGAGCCAGAGATGCCTTTCTTAGAAATGGACATTTCATAGTCCTTGCTGCTTGAGGACAGGCTGCATTGTCACCAAAACCCCAGGGAGGTCTCATTCTGCTCATTTTACAGCTGAGGAAAAGAGAAGCAGGGTGTGGATGGGCCAGTAATGAGAGCACCCAAGTGCCTGGCTCAGCTCCTTCTACCAAAGAATGCTGAGTGTCCCTGTTTGCGTTGCCTGAAAAACCTGAAGCTCACCAACCAGAGCCACTTGGATGCTTCCTATCTCAGTTTCATGGTCAGGAGTGTGAGTGTTTCCTCTGCTTTGCATGGGGACTACGTGGGAGCATCTGGCTGCTGGCTGTCCTGTTCTGAAGGGTTAAGGACAAACTTTACTCATAGCAGGGGTGTTTGGAAAGTTCTGAAAGGGTGGGCCTGGCTGGCCTCCTGGCCCTGCCCAGGACCTCTCAGGGTCTTTCCCTGCGGTGTCTCCAGGAGGGAAGTCAGATTCCCACCTGTGGCTCAGGGCTCCCAGAAGGAGGGTCCCCAGAGAGAAGCAGAACCTGCTGGTCTCTGATGGCCTGAATGGGCTCAGCATCCATCTTGCCATATTCTGTAGGTCAGGGCAGTACAGGAGTCCAGCTAGATTCAGGGAGGGACCATAGACCCCACCTCTCAGTGGAAGGACAGCCAAAGAGCATGTGGCCCTCCTGGATAGGCCACTCCTAGGGCAGACTCATTAAAGCACAGGTCTCATGAGAACCCCAGTGGGTTCCCTCCCTTCCTACCCCTCCTGCTCTGTTCTTCTGCTCTGAAGGCCTCTGACATGGAGGTGGCAGTAGAATGTGAGAAAGAGGAGCTGGTGCCCTGCCCTACTAGCACCTGACTGTCCCTGGGCAGAGGTAAACATGCAGAGAGCCACACCCACCAGAATGTTGATTGGCATCTCTGTTTGAGTCCTTTGAATGGGTGCCTGATCCTCCAGTGCCCTTTCTGTAATTCCTGTCCCCCAGGGGGCCCCAGATGGTGTTGGGGTGTGGTGTTTCAGCTACTTAGTTTAAATTAGACCTTGGTCCAGAGGCTCTGAGTGGATACTGTTCATCCCAGAGCTGTTGGAGCGTCAGGAGGCTCATCTTTACAGATATGCCAACTGGGGACCAGAGCAAGGAAGGTATTGTGTGTGTAGTTGGGGTAGGCCTAGAACCTAGGTCACTGCAACTGTCCCCATGGTCTGGTCACCTGGGCCAGGGGCTGGGCAGGAGGTGAGGACATACACTGCTGTGGGACCTAGGCCATCAATCCTTCACCACCTCTGACTAGCCTGAGATGCTGAGCATGTTATTCAGCTTCTCTGAGCCTCATTTTCCTCATCTGTAAAATGAATGTGATTCAACCTACTACCACATGCCTGAGGACAGTAATATGCCCCAACTTGATGTGTGTTCCCCAAAATGTTGGTTGGAACTGAAAACCCTCCCTCTGGGTCCCTTCAGAGATGATCTGGATCCCTGACATTGTCCTTTACAACAAGTAGGAAGCCATGGAGCCCTGGAAAGATCACCAGGAGGGATGGTAAAGGGGAGGGCTTCATCATTTCCCTCTCAATGCTTATCAGAGAACCCCATCCTCTGTATTCTTTTATTCCTTTCATTCTGTTCTCTCCCTCCTACACACCGACATTTACTGGGCACTGAAGATGTATTCATTTGTAGCACGGTGATATGGGACAGATTTGCCAACTCTGAGTATCCTTTGGAAAATGTGGTTCAGACTCTCTAAAAACACCTAAGAGTTGAAATTTTAGAGGATGGCAATATTGTCTGACCAGGTAAGTGGCATCCTATAGTAGCACCTTTGAAGAACAAATTCACTGGGTATGTTTTTTCTTTAATCATATTTTCTTATACTTGCCTTGGATTCAAGACCCAAAGGATCAATCTCATCCTAACAACTAGAAGCTAACAGAAGCTGGAGGGCGGGGGTGGGGGAGGAGTCTATAGAGAATCCCAGGAAAAATAGAAATCTATATTTTTATTAGTATGTTTGGTATGAGGCAATTCTTCATTGTGAAGTTAAGAAGTTCAAATTTAAAAGAAGGTGTTATAATTGTCTAAAACCATTTTCTAAAGCAGGTTGCTGCTTCCTTAAGATATGAATAGCTATGACAAGGTTCTGTGGTCATGGTTTTGGATCACAGTGTATGTCTGTCATCCCTTGACAAGGGCTTTAGAAGCCAGCAGAGCACAATAGCATTTTAAATGCTGTTTTAAGTTCTGCAGCAAAGAAACCAGCTTACCCAGCACTTCCCAATCCCTCAGACCATACCATGGAAATGATATTTTTGAACAATAAAACATAGAGAGAGAGAGTCCATTTCTAGACCTCCAGAGAGGTCAGTGGTTCCTTACACCAGTTCCTTACACTGTCTGGTCCTGGGCAGGCCCAGCGCCCTCTCACCTAAGCCATCTTGGTAAACACACACTTGCCACTGGGTGACCTGGCAGGTCTGACACTGCAGGTACCTGTGTTTGCTGACTCACATCCCCACCCCATTGCTCTGTACCCAGGAGCTGGCACCCAGGAACATTCTAGTTTCTGCTTCCTGAGCATTTGGCAGCGATATGAGCAAAGTCCTAGGGTCAGATACAACTTCACATTTCAGGATTGTCAATAAAGCCATGACCACTAAGACTCGATTTTCACAAGAAAAGTCCAGTCAAACTTCCGTAGACATATAAAGAAACATCTGCTCCACCCAGGGACTGCACTCTGGTCAATCAATAGAACTGTTCCTTCCACCAAATGGGTGCATGTTGCCATCTAGTGGAAACTATGTGAAATGACAAAAATGCCTTTAATTTCTTTTTCTTTCTTTCTTTTTGACTTTTTTGCCTGATGTATTTGTTACTCTCTTTCAAAATTCCTGTTTCCAGCCAGTCTGTCTCTCTACCCTGGAACTACTCCATGGGAAACTCCCTTGTATTCTGATTCCCTGTACTTTAGGACAGACCATAGGAAGCTAAGGGGGAGTTGAAGAAGTCCCATCTGACTGGTCACCATTGTTCCAGTGTCCCCATAGTCCTTGTGGGTCTTTGGATTCTCATTCCCATGAAGTCCCCAACCTCATCTACCACAGTCACTATGATGCCCACCTGGTGGCCCCAGTGAGCACTGTTAAGGTTTTCCTTGGCCCCAGCTATTTCTTGTTCCTGCAGGGCCCTCTACTGTGGTGCTTCCTCCCCTCCCTTGGCTGAGTCCTCCCTGAGCACTCCATCCAGCCTCCTGTTGGTGCCAAGCTGCCTCCTAGGGGGGCCCTAGTGGTTGAAGTTAGGTGCATGGACTCCAGGAAGTTTCCTCACTAGCCAAAATCTTAGGTCTCTTGAGCAAAGAACAAAAGATCCAAGTGGAAAAGTCATGATCTTCTACCTAAGAGGCTGCTTGCTCACTGTGTGCTAGGAAAGTATAGTTCAAAATTGTCACTCTAAAATATTAAAGGAATAAAACAGGCAATGGAACTGCATACACCCTGTGACCTCAAATATGCAAAACCATCAGAATCATCGTCTGCGTGACAGTAGAATAGACATGTATAGTATCACAATGTTAATAGTGGGTATTTTAAAAATTCTTGGTACTTTCCAGTGTTCTTCAAAACTCCAACTTTTGAAATTAAAACAATGTTATATGAAAAGAAAACTCAAGTATATCCATCTTCTGGGGAAATTTTATACCCTTGCAAAAGATGGGACACTTGGCCAGCTGAAAACTGCCTTGTTCAGGGTGCTCTCTGCAGCAGTCTGGGTGGGTCAGGTGGGTGTGCAGAGCCCCCAGCTGGTCTTCTCTCCGCAGTGCAGATGGGGAGTTTGTGGTGACCCACATGACCACAGCGCACCTCTTCTCCATGGGCACTGTGCACTGGTTGCCCCCGACATTTACAGGAGCTCCTGCAGCATCGACGTCACCTTCTTCCCCTTCAACCAGCAGAATTGTAAGATAAAGTCTGGCTCCTGGACCTATGACAAGGCCAAGATCTACCTGGAGCCAATGGAGCAGACGGTGGACCTGAAGGACTACTGGGAGAGTGGCGAGTGGGCCATCATAAATGCCACTGGCACCTACAACAGCAAGAAGTATGACTGCTGCGCCGAGATCTACCCTGACATCACCTACGCCTTTGTCATCCACAGGCTGCCGCTCTTCTACACCATCAACCTCATCATCCCCTGCCTGCTCATCTCCTGCCTCACCATGCTGGTGCTGGTCTTCCACCTGCCCTCTGACTGTGGAGAGAAGATCACGCTGTGCATCTCCGTGCTGCTCTCACTGACTGGCGAGTACCTGCTCTTCACTATGATCTTCGTCACCCTCTCCATCGTCATCACCGTCTTCGTGCTCAACGTGCACCACAGCTCCCCCAGCACCCACAGCATACCCCACTGGGTGCGGGTGGCCCTGCTGGGACATGTGCCCTGGTGGCTGCTGATGAACCGGCCTCCTTTGGAGCCACACAACTCCCCAGGCCTGAAACTTGGCCCATCTTGTTGCTGGTTGGAGACCAACATGGACGCAGAGGAGAGAGAGGAGGCAGAGGAGGAGGAGGAGGAGAAAGGCAGATGGGTGTGTGCAGGCCGCCCAGCCCCCTCCATGGGTATCATCTATGGCCACAGATGCCTGAACCCACAGACCTCAGGGCCCAGGGCCGAGGCTCCCTCTGGGGAGCCTGAGATCTTGCTGTTGCCTTGCATACAGAAAGCCCTGGAAGGTATGCACTATATTGCTGACCACCTGCAGTCTGAGGATGCTGACTCTTTGGTGAGTGAGATCTGGGTGATGGCCTCCCCTGGGTGACCCTACCAGCTTAGCAGGGAACCCTCCCACCTCAAGGTGGTAGTTAGACCAACCTGGTCCCCTCCCTGAGGGCTGGCCTCACCCATTCATGGCTCCAAAGAGTCTGGAATCAATTGTGAGAGAACATTTAGCTGTCTCTTGGGACACTTGATGGCAGTAGGTCAAGAATGTCCCTGCTCAGCCTAACTGGGAGACAGTGAGCAGAGACATGCTTAGATGTGGACTCTGCAGTGCCATGCTTATGCCACTACCTACAGGAGTTGGCAGGGATGGGAGGTGGAGGGGGCATTAGGAGAGCCTGGTGGGCTAGCCCCCTGTGGCAGTGGCCTTCCTCTTTTATGCTAGATGGTCCCCTCTCTGCTCATGAGGCCCTCTGTGAAGCTCATGAGTCAACCACAAACCCTGCAGATTCTTGGTTGTACGAGGCTGGGCCTCTCCGCAGCTGGGCCTCTCTGCAGCCTCTGCCTTATCTAGCACTCAGCATCAGCACTTTCTTATCAACTTAGGGAAGGGTGAAAGGCTGGAAAGGATCACTGGGTAGACTTGATGAGTGAATGAGAAAATTAATCATTAATTTGGGAGTAGCTAGGCATCCATCCCTGGCCTGGGCTGGGAGTTCAAGCTGCACAAAGCCCACCCACCCACTAACCTGCCCTGAGTCACACCTACCCCACCCACTACCTTCTCTGCTCTGAAATCACTGCAGCCACTGGGAGTCCAACTCTTTAGATGGTTCCAGCACCTCTATGTGTCCCTGTAGTCCCTTTGCCCCGAACCTGCTGAGCTCCGGCAGTGTGGAGGCTGACATAGGTGGGACACAGGAGAGGGTGGTATGGGGCTTGGGCTAGCTCTGTTTCTCCCTCCACCCCATCTCTGCACCTGTGCCAGTCTTAGCTTCCCCTTGAGTCTCAGGGGGCAGTTGCTGCTGCCTTGTGGTTGTCCCTACAGGGGCTGAGCATGAGAGGAACACTTCTTGAGGCCTGGCCTCTTCACTGTGAGCCCATTTCTCCCGCAGGTGAGAGAAGACTGGAAGTGTGTTGCCATGGTCATCGACAGGATCTTCCTCTGGCTCTTTATCATCGTCTGCTTCCTGGGAACCCTGGGGCTCTTTCTGCCTCCGTTCCTGGCTGGAATGATCTGATGGCATGTCCCTTATGTTGGCTCCAAGGCAGTCCTGCCAGCCAGCAATGACCACCTTTAACTGCAGCTGCCTCTAGAGTTCCCTCTGGGCCAGCACCATCTGCCTGCGGTGCTTCTGGGGAGAGAGCACCAGCTCTTAAGGTCTTCCTGGAGCACTCACTGTGATGCTACTGAACTGGGAATCTGCTGGACAGAAAGCCAGGTTTAGCAAGCAGAGGAGTTAGAAAAGAAGGAGGACCCTGCCCTTCAGAGGGGTGGGACTAGCACAATGATAAACAATATGGCCTTGAGGGAGGGGCACATGGGGGAAGGGGAGGCTGCCTCAGGGGTGGAGGGTCTATGAGCAATGGTCTAGATTTAAGAATGAGCCCAAAGTTCCCAGGGGAACCCCCAGGCCAGGGTTGGGGAGGCTGGTAATGCAGGTTGGGCTCTTTAAACCAGGCTGAGGAAGTAGTTCAGTGTGAGTTTGCAGGTCTTGGAGGTGTGTGGTGTAGCAGCCGAGGAACAAGGGACTTTACAGAAGGAGCAGGGAGCAAGTGTGGGGGGGGCAGTGGAGCGAGGCCTTCCCCTCCACCCAAAGCACCTTCAGCACACCCTGGGCTTCCCTGAGGCATCATGACTCCCTCTTCCTTGTAGAGAGGTAGCCAGAACTGAGAGCTGCTGCTGTGGGCGCCGTGTGCCCATGAACCTGCAGTGAACAAACCGGGAAGGCCATCCCTGGCTGTTCTTCCACAGTGTCCTGGTCCCTGTAGTCTGTGGTCAGCACACCTCTCTGGAGTTGGGGATCTCTGCTTCAAGCTCCTTCAGTTCTGAACTCCTCCCAGCCAGGGACCCTTTAGTTTCTCTCTCCCTAGGACCTAGCACAGCACAGGGTGAGGGGCATCGGCACTCCATGTTGTGTGTGGTGGAGGGGAAACACTGAACATTTTTGGCTCCATGCCTGCTGGGTGATGCCAGTGCCCTCAGGGTGTCCCTCCAGCCTGCCTTTCCTGTCCTCCCCAGAGCTTCACCATGTCTGACCTTCTCTGGGCCATTCTGTGCAGCTTGTTCTTGCTCTGAGGAATGCAGAGCCTGGTGGGTTGAGCCTCTCCTGAGCTCTGTCCAGCCCCTGAGGGCAGGACCACAGTAGCCACCAGAGGTGTACACCAGGCTGTCCAGACAGTGTGGAGCCCCAAGCAGGAAGCAGAGTAGGGCAAACTGCTGACTCCCCTCCATCTTGGGGTCCTGTCCTTCTGAACCTCCTCCTCCTCAGCACACAACACTCCTTCACACATCTGGAAAGACCTACCTACCTGTGACCCTGGCCCAGGCCCTGCTCCTCAGTTCTCTCCTGAGACCCCCCCCCCACTCCATGGCCCTCTGGCCTCATTCCTCCTCTTTCTGTAGCCCCCACCCCCCACCCCCTGTCTCTCTGCCTAACTGAGGCTCCCAGAGGTGATTTCCTGCTGCAGGGACAGCATGGAGATCTGTGTTGTTCATGTTTTCTGTCCATCCATCTTGCATGTGAGTAAAGTAGTTAAATAAAGCCAAGTCTGCTGCTCCTTCAGCTGTGTGACCCCCCAGAGCCCAAGTGGTCTGGGTGCAGCTGAAAGAGATTCCACATGGATGAAACTGCCCTGGGTCCCTCCTGGAAAGCAGCCCCTGAGTTAGGTACCCTACTGACATTTGGGACAAAGGGCTGGAGCACACCTGTCCCACTGCCAGGTGCTTTCCTTGGCCACGGCCCAGCATCCATCAGCACTTGATCTGCACCCAAAAGAACACCATCCATCTCTTGCCTGGCTGTGGTTCATGGCCAGCCTCCTCCCACAAAGGGCACATCAAACCAACACCACAGTCCAACAAACCACAAAGAAAATGGTACGAGTTTAATTCAACCACAAATCTGATAGAAAGAAGGTAAGAGAAGGCTCAACACAAACACTTGAGAAAGGAAGGGATCAGATGAGAAAAGGGGGCGGAGGGAGAAGAGGAGGAGTAAGAAAAGGCAGGGAAGGTAAAGGAAAAAAGAGAGGAGGTTGCCAGGGAGAGAGCAGATTGTGGTCCAAAGTCCAGTCCTGGCCACTGTCTCTCTGCTCCTTCCCCTGATACTTGGTGTGTTAACAACACAGTGTCCTGTGCCAGAATTCCCAATCAGTTTGTTCTTGGACTGTGTCCCAGATTCCCCATCAGGAGTGAACCCAGCTGTCAGTCCAGACCAAACTCACATTAAATAAATTTGAATATACACTGTACAAGAAAGCCAGCCCGTGCCCCATCTTACAAGCCTCCTGACCCCCCCCCCCCCAAAGCCCTTCCATGGCCCCTCTGTGCATCAGGGGATCCCCAAGGGCTGAAGAGGAAGGAGAAGAAATAGCTTGGCTCCCATATGGGCCCGCCATGTCCATGCATAAGCCGTTTTGGCTGCTAGGGACACTACTGTGACCCCAATGAGGCTCCAGAACCCAGGTTGGGGTGGGAGGGGTAGCTGGCGGCGACAGTGACCTCGGAACCATGTTTGTCACACCCACCCTGCGTCCATATCCAGAGTCCCCTCCATCCAGCTGCAGCCTGAAGAGCATAGTCTGGGGCGGGGGGCGGGGAGGGAGTCCTGCAAAGTGGTGAGGGAAGGATCCCTCACCCCGGGCCTTCCCTGAGAAGACCATGTGACTAAAGGCAAGGCAGGGGAGGTGCATGATGGGTGGGGGTGGAAGACGCAGGCGGGTGGCCCCCACCCTAGGTCACTCTGCAGGCGGGTGGGCCAGATTGGCAGGACCTTGGCCTGGTCCACAGCATCCAGCAGGTTCTTGGCGTCCACGGCCAGGGTGTGGGAGGCCGTGAGCATCTGTCGCTTGCACTCCTCACTCAGGGAGGTCACCGCATTCTGCTGCGCCAGCTGCATTTTGTTGATAAGGTCTGTCAGGTCCTTGTTGAGCAGCTTCTGTATCCCCTCAATCTGTATGGAAAGCACACAGAGAGGCGAGGTGCTTGGCCGTGGGGAAGGGTATTGGCTGAGGTAGTCAGAAGTCCCTGGGGACAAGGTGGGTCTAGGCCTGGCTGAATCCAGCCCCCCATACAGATTGGAGTGGGCATCCCAACCCCTAGCCAATCATGTGTGAGCATTGCCTGACCCCACCCCATATGCCATCCGGTCGCAACAACCCTTCACACCACCAGCATTCAAGTGAACGGTCAGGGTCCATGTCCCTGTGCCATTTTGTAACTGTCTACCATCAAATCAAGAGATCTGGGATTTTTTTTTAACCACCACATGCCCAGAGCCTAGCACACTGAGCACATGAAACACAAGAGATGTTTGTTGAATGAGCGAGTGAGTACATGGTCATCCCTAGGATACAGAGCTATCACATCACACCTGACCTCTCCTCAGGAAATTTGCCCTAAAGCTCTCTAGGTCCCTGGTGGCCATCTCAGCCCTATGATGGTACCTGCCTAGATGGGGTGCCTCTGTGGGCTACTGCTGCCACCCAGAGGCAGGTTGAGAATTGTCCCAAGTGTCCCTGCTCTGTCTTGCCTTGAGCAGGCAGATGGTTAGGGTGGTGATGGGATGGGCCACATGCCACATGGATCATGTGGCAGATGGCTGACCGTGAGAGGCAAAGGATCCCAGGGCTCCATGGGAGGTCCACATTTGGTTTCCAGACGGACAATCGACAGATGTCCAGTGGCTCTGGATCAGCTTCTTACAGCTACAGTAACAAATGACCACAAACCTAGCAGCTCCATGCAGCACAGGTCATTCCTTTACAGTTCTGCAGGTCAGACTTCTGAGCAGGCCCAATGAGGCTAACACCAGGGTGCGGACTGGACTGCATTCCTTCTAGAGCTGGGCAGGGTGTTCCCTGCCTTTCCCTGTGTTGAAGCTGCACCTTCCAGCAGCAGTCTGCCTCTGACTTTGGTTTCTGTCATCACAGCCCTTCTCTGACCTTCCGCCCGCTGCCCATTAATAAGGACACAGGCCCACTTGGGTAATCCACATAATCTCCCCCTCTCAAGAGCCTCACACTGATCACATCCCCCAACCCCCTTTAGCCTTGTAAGATAATGCGTTCACAGGTCCCAGGGATCAGGCTAGGTCCCTGGTGGCCATCACAGGGCTGTGTCAGCAGAACACCAGGATTCCCAGGGCTTCATTGACAGGATTTCAATGACACAATCACCTTGACCTTGGTCCAGTGAGTAGATAAAGGATAAAGGGTGGGGAGAGGAGGCAGGCGTGCCCTCTTGCACATCCGCATTCAATGAGAATTTATGGCAATCTGAGACCCGATAGGAAATTCACCCCAGAAGCTGGCCAAGCTCCTGGGGGCCTCTCGGCCCTCTGGTGGTTGCTGCCCAGACATGCTGTGCAGTCTCCTGATGGACAGAAATGGAGCTGCCCAGGTGGCTCAGGGGCCTCTGCTAGAAATGCAACTAGGAACAGGTGGAGGTACAGGGAGAAGTGACAGATTCGACACCATCTAGGATAGGACACCTACCTCTGTCCTCGAAGATGATGGCAAGGAGGGCAAGAGATCATCCACACTCACAATGAGCTTTCTCAGAGTCAGCCCCACATTCTGAGGGGAGGAAGGCGCAGGGCAGCTATTACCACCTGCTGTTTTCTTTTCCAGAAAGCCCTTTTGCTTTGGCCAGAGCACTTCTTGGGGTTTCCAGGAACCAACTTCCCTTTGACCATGGGAACCATGGAGACACCACCCCCTTCTTCAGGGGTGACAGCCCCACCTCCTCGGGTCCCTTCTGCCTGGGCTCTCACCTTCACCACCACCACGTAGCCCTCAGGGGGCAGCTGGCAGAGCTCCTTCTTGAGATCCAGCACTGCCTGCACCAGCTCCATGACATTGAGGTACACCAGGTCATCGGTCTGGTCCAGGTTGGCTGTGGGCTGGATGGACTAAGGACAAGAAGCAGAGGGGGCTTGGCGGACTTGGGAGGACCCTGCTACCACTGCTGTTCTTTTGTGGGTAGGCAACTCAGCCACCAGCCCACCAGGAATGACTCTTTTGTGGAGCAATAGTGACCTTTCCTGGGCGTGTATCCCTCCCTTCTGCCTCCAGGACAATGGCTGTCCAGCCAGGGAGCCTAATCACATTCTGGTGATGGCCTCACCAGACCCATGGAACCATCACCTAGCCTTAGGTTCCAGGTTGGTCAGTGCCCATCAGGTCATTCTAATGGGCAGCCGACATCAAGAACCACTGTTCTAGAGCAAAGAATACCAGTGGCCAACCAGGCTATTGCAAGGACGGGGTGGGGGAGTGCCAAAAGCTTAAGGGTGGCTCAAAAGAGAAAGGGGCCACTTGTCCTCCCCCAGAGATGCACCTATGAGCTTTCCTCTGGGTCAGGCAGTGGGGACAGGAGCCTAGCTCTACCCCTGCTTCTACATGTACCAGCTGAGGTAGCCTGAGGCAAGGTGCTTGTCTTTAAAGACCACAGAATTCATTCCTGGGAATCCCCACTCCAATTCATGTCCAGCCTTCAGGGAGCCAACACCTACCTGTGCCCCCAGTAGTGGTGGCTTCTGTGGGGGCCCTGTGAACTCTGCTGCAATGGGAAGGACAGTGAGTCAGTAAGTGGGTAGAGGGGTCTCAACAGCTGGCCTTTGCCTTCATACCCGCTGATGATCAAGCAAAGCCCTCTCCTCCATTATCAGGAGACTCTGGGGGTATTAGGCCCCAATACCAGGAAGATGGCAGGGGAAGAGCATGCTGGACTCTGTGGTTTTGTATAGAAAGAAAAAAAAATCAAAGTCACAGCAGAGATGGGGTGACCTCATGGGAGTTCCAGCTCTGGCATGCTTCCTCGTTGATGGACAGAGGCCCAAGGGATAGCAACACTCTGGCCTTGGCCACCCATGGAAAAGAAGCCTCACTCTCTACAGGCAATGGGGGTCCATGGAGCCCCCACCCTGGTGTATCAGCTGCTCATGGGTAGATATATGAGGATGCTATAATGATTTTCCTTGAGCATTTGGGGCTCAAGTAAATGAAATACCAGCAGAGCCTTTCTATTCATGCCCACTCTGATGAACAAAGACACACACAGGCCCTGCGCAGCTGCTGGAAGGGAAAGCACAGGATGGAAATCAGAACACCTGGTTCTGCTCACACCTCCACCACCAAAGAGCCCTGCCACCCAAGACAGCACATCTGTATTCCCCCAGTCTCAATTTTCATCTGCAGAATAAGAGGGTTAGCTCTGAAGTCACCTGGAACCAGAGAGCCTAGGCTTACCACTGAGCCATGCTAATTAGCAGCTGGGTGACACTGGGCAAGTTGTCAACCAGCCTGTGTCTCAGTTGCATCCTTTGTAAAATGGAGACACACTGTCTGTCTCTGAGTTGCTACAATAAAAATGAGTTAATACTTGTGACTTGGCTGGTGCCTGCCCTGTGTTAAGTTCTCTGTGTCCATTGTCCTTGCTCTTCTTATCATTATCATCAGCTCCTCCCCCTCCTTTCCCTGACTTCAGCACAAGCTTCTGGAGAAATCTCCTAGGCTTGGTCTCATTCATCCCTTGGGCTTGGAGAAGACCTAAGAAGTGGGG